TCCGGCAGCCGGCCGCACTGACCGCGGCCGCTCTCCGCAGGGGACAGAGGCGGCAGGGAGCTGTCCACCTGCACATGTGGTTTCCTGTGACACTGCTTATTTAAGAAGACACCATGGAGATGAAATGCCTTTGATTTTTTTTTTTTTTGTACTCTGGAGCAGCGAAATGAAACAGAACTTGACCCTGAGCTTACACGACAAACCGTGCCAACTACTGGGGACGCCTAATTACGAAGCCAACATGTAACCAGTTATAAATACATACGTATATATATGTATATATATACATATATATATATAAGAGGATCTATTTTTGTGTAGATGTACAAACACTGTAAAGCTGTTTGCTGTAAGTATCTTGGAGGAGGGCCGTGCCGTCTGGGGCCCGGAGCTGGCGCGTCACCGAGGGGAGCGGCCATTGTGTCCGGGGCGGGGTGCAGTCAGGGGCGTCTGTGGGGCGGAGGTGAGGACGGGGCTCCGGGGCCTGTGAGTGCCCCTTGGAGGTGGAGCGTATTGGCTGTCAGTGAGAGACGCTCTTGCCTTTGTTTTGAGTTGAAATCAGGCAGCACCCGAGTGAGAATCAGACCTGGGGAAGAGGCCCCGGCCTTGCCCCCGCGCCCACCCTGGCCTCCGGGGTGGGAGTCAGTCAACGGCCCCTTCCTTACTCACTGCCTCTCAGGCTCTCCAGAGGCCAGGGCTGCCCCTCCCCTGGCAGGGACGTGGAGGTCGTGTCTGAGGAGACGCTGGTCCCCGCCCCCCGGGAAGGCCCAGGCCAGGTGTCCCAGGCTGCGGAGCACGCAGAGGCAGGAGAGCTCTGCCCGCCTGGGCAGTGGCAGCTTTTGATCCCCGAGACGCGGGGATTTGCAGTGAGGTGGGATGGCCCGCACTGGGCAGCGGGGTTGTCACTGGCCGCGTCACGGGTTCACTCATGAACAGCCACATGCAGCGGCAGCGGCCGAGCCGGAGCAGCAGGACGAGGAGGGGGCGTTTGCGTACTAGGGGGCATCTTAGTTGAAAGCACCTGGGCGATGAGTCCCAGGTGTCCCCAGGGCTCCCTCTTGGGGGAGCCAAGCGAAACGGAGGGGTCTGACCAGAGCCCCGAGGCCTCAGCTCCGAGTTGCCCTGAGCTTTTTCCGGCTCTGCTGGCCGCCTCGGCCTGGTCCGCTCGCCCCGCCTCACCCGGTCTCCATCTCCGCCCGTCAGATGCATGGCTCTGGTCACCGCCGTGCCCTCGGACGCGGCCCGGTCCGCTTCGATTCGCCTTTTCTGGACTGTTCGACTAACTCTTTGCCGTTTCGAAGTCAGGCCTGACCCCAGCAGAGCTTTGCTGGCCGCGACGTCGGGGAGCCGGGGCCGGCTCGGAGGGGCCGGGTCCTGGATCGTGAGTTGGAGAGTCGATACCCAATACCGTTCAGTAGCACCTCACGCAGTTCTGCGATGGGGGTGGCGAGCCCGGGTCCGGGCCCTCCGTCCCGAGGGGCTCGTGTCACCGGCCAGAGGGGCCCGTGCCACCGGCCAGTGGGCAGTGCGCTCAACATTACTTGAAGCTCCCAGGTGCCAAACCGCTTAGTGCCTTGGCTCTGTCCCACTGCCCTGGGGGACGGGTTCTTCTCACTTCTGAGCCGTGGCTGGCCCAGCTGCCACCGCCTCTGCCTGTGGTGTTGGGACCAGGCCTCAGTGTCCCGGAGTGGCCCAGTCCTAGCTGGGGAGCAGCACCAGGCTGCTCCGCCTCCTGGCACAGCCATCGCCACCTGTTGGTGGCCTGGCTGGGGGCACTGGGCCACACTCACCAGGCAGTGATCAGGATGCCCGGTCTGTGACACGTGTGTCCGGGGCAGGGACGGGGTGGGGACACCTGGCTCTCTGTGGCAGGTCCAGCATTAGCTGAGTGTCAGAGCCGGGCCTTGCCGGGTGCAAACCTGTGGCCTGGTGCCCTACGAGTCCCTGGAGGAGACGCCACGACCTGCGTCACCTGGGTTCTCTGCCATCCGGGGGGAGGCGCAGACGAGCAGTGGGTGACGTTGCTCGTGTGTCGCAGGATGCTCACTTCTCCCCACGTGAGGTCTTTCGCCAGGTGCCGTGGGAAGGCCGTCCGCTCTGCTCCACACCTGCGGAGCTCCAGCTGACGGGGTGTCTGTTCCCCGGGCAGCCCGAGCCCCCAGGAGGGAGACGGCAGTCTGTCTGAGGAGGGCGCGGGCGTGACCTCAGGCGTCTGTCCTTCAGTTGGAAGATGTGGCTGGACGGTGGGTCTCTGAAGGACAGGCTGCGGGCAGGTGGCAGGGAAAGGCCTCCGTTCACCCTTCAGAAGCCGCTGTCCCTGCAGCACCCCGCTCTGGGCCTGGCTGCCCCCCGGCCATGGGACACGGGCTTCCTGCCTGTCCCGGGCTCGGCTGGGACCTTGCCTTGGTGTCAGGCTCATCAGGTCGCCGGGTCAGGCTGAAGGCTTGTGCATGCATCAGAGCTGGCGGGGAGGCGGGGTGGGGGCCCAGGTGGGCTGTGTCGCCGCCTGTGCTGAGTCGGGCAGGTGGGGACAGGTCCTGGGGACACAGAATGGGCCCTGCCACTGCCGCCAGCACCCCAGTCCTTAGGGTGCAGTGGAAGGGTCGCTCTTGCTGTCAGACCAGCGAGACGGGGGTGGGCAGGGCTGTGGGGCTGCGTCTGGAGCCCGGCGCCTCCTGTGGCCTCGTCTCTGGGCCTTCTGTCCCGCTGGGCAGGGGCGGGCGTGAGAGCAGAGCCATGCTGCCTCAGGAGCGGGCGGGCAGCTCAGTGCGGACTTCGGCCTTTTCCCCTTTCGGATGCTTGCTCCTCCCCCTTCCCTTGCCACCACCCTGCCTTTATTGTTCGTAGTTGCAAAAATGACCACGTTCTATGTACCTTGCTGTAAATAAAGACTGAACCAAAAACAGCCACCGTGTGCCTTCCCTGTGTCGGGCGGGAGCCACGGCGGAGGCTGGTGGTGACGGGGCCGCGGAGCCGCTGGGGGTGGGGCTGGAACCCTGGTGAGACACGGACACGAAAGCCGGCCGTGTTTTCTGGAGGCTTCTATTCCCTGGATGACTGGCTTTGAGCTCCTGCTGGTGTCACCCAGTTTAGACAGTGTCCTCCCTCACTGCCTTCGCTGGGCTAGTCACCACCCCCACCTCAACTTCGGCAATCAGCCATTGTGGGTGGAGGGAGGAGATTCTACGTTATAGCGAGTTCAAGTAGAATAGACACACGTGTAACTAATTGAAACAATGTATCTATTTGACAGATACCGATATGTCAACCCATGCAGCTTGCACCTAGCTCCCTGAGTTTACAAGACCTAGGTCGCCCGCCACTGAGGATTTTAGAATAATTGGCTTCCGTGCTCTGAGTAGCACCCACCTTTCTCAGCTACCCCTCACCCACCGCCACCCAGGCACCAAATAACCCTCACTAACGTCTAGGACCGCTCTGCTCCTTCCAGCCACCTGTTCCCCTGACACATGCTAACCCATCAAGGAACCGAGCAGATTGAAAGGAACTTTCAGGTGGCAGGGCCCACCTTAGGAGGTTGCCGAGGTGCCACTACAAGAGATGGTGTCCAGCACGACTGTCATCCGGCTTGCGTGGGTCACAGGAAGTGGTCGTGCGGGCCGGCTTCGCTGTGTGTGATCCAGGCTCCTCTCTGCATAGCCCTCACGTCTCCCTGTCCCGTGGACCACATCTGCCCTCCACAGGCCACCTCCGTCCTCTGGAGCTGGAGGCTTTGCTTGGGGCTCAGCTCCTGTTCCAGAGCCTCAGCTCTGCTCCCTCGTAACTGGGACAAGGTGCAGGCCAGGGGGCCCTTGAGCGAAGCTGCTGTGTCTTCCCACCCCCTGTCACTGCATCCTCTGAGCCAGCCTTCGCCGCAACTAGCAGACCCATTTGGCTGGTGCCACTTTAATCAAACCGTCGGCTCGTTTAGAAAGGGACCCGTTAGGACCCGCCTAAAGGTTTTGTAGAGGAGGCCTGGGGCGTGGGCCGGAGATGGGTCGCTCTCACCCTCCGGTGCTGGCGGTGTTTAGATTTCGATTTTAAAGCGGTTCGAGCAGATCATCTTGTAAATCCCAGGACGTTACCCCACGAGCTAGATCTTGGGCTGTGCCCGCACAGATGCACAGACGTTTTTTAACTAAACTATGGACTAAACACAGAACAGCCACGTGCGTCGGCTTGGGACGAAACCCAGGCACGTTCTCCACGAAAGGAAGGAGACGGGGCGGGAGAAGGAAGTCGAGCGTGACATGAGGTCACTCTAAACACGTCTCCCTCTGCCCTGAGGATCTGTTAGACCTGGACGGCAGGCCCAGGACGTGTGGCCCGGAGCGAACGCCGCCTGAGCTCCGGGTCGGCGTTCGCTGCGTGGTGACTGGGGGCCACCGAAGCCCAGCACGGCCTCGCCGGCCTGCCTGGTGGCGTCGTCCACCGAAAAGCCCAGACTCGGGCAAGATAATTCCAGTGACAAACTTCAAGATGCCCCGTCAGTACTTTCTTTTCAGTTACTGAAATGTCCACCTCTCGTGGTAACATTCACGTCGGGCTTTTCCAGCGGGCAGGACACTCCCGGAGCGTGGCTGGGTCCTGAAAACAGTCCTGCCTGGTCCACGGGGCACGCAGCTGCTCCAGCCTGGGGCGGAGGGGAAGCGAGGAGCCGCGTAGCCGCTGGGACGCGGGACAGGCGGGCGGTGCGGCCGTGGCGCGCGCCTGCCATCTAGCGGCGCGTTCCGATCTCAGCAGCAGGGGTGCGGGGGGCGGGCCCAGCGGCCCTTGCTTGGCTGGCCGGGACCGCTGTCCATGCGATGCCGCCTGGTGTCTGACTACGGGTGCGGCCTCTTTCCTGTTTGCTCCGGGAGGATCTTGGCTGAGGCCCGGCCTCGGGCGGCGGGAGCCGACCCTCTTTTTGCTGCTGCCACATGCCGCAGCGTCTCCCCAAGCTGGCCAGCGTAGTCGCCCGGGCTTTGCGAAAGATGCTGCTGGGACCCACTCCTGAGAATTTCGATTCTGCGGTTCCAGGGAACCGCGCAGGTAAATCAGACGCACGGCGCGTGGAAGCCCCGGGCCCTGGGCATTTAGTCATTCAGATCTGCGGTGTTCCCTGCCCTGGGACCCCTTCTCTCCCAGAAACGCCGTCTGCGCTGTTCAAGCCTCTTCCCTGCCTTGAATGTGTTCCTATGTGGTTCCTATTTTTTGATGCTACTATAAACAGTATTTGAAAAAGTTCCAGTTTCCGAGTGTTTGTTGCTAGCGTGTAGAAATGCAATTGGTTTCCGTACGCCGGTCTTATCTTGCAGACTTGCTAATCTCACTCCTCAGTGTTAACACTGTTTTTAGAGCGGTTTCAGGGGAAGCAGGGATAAAACTGTGCTTCAGCCTCCATGTCTAACCACGAGATTTCGAGATTTCTATGCCTACTTTTATCGTCTCTACAGGTGATAGTTTTCTTACTTTAGCGCTTACCTTTTAAAACTAACATGCACACTTGACAAAAATCTCTAACCTCCCAAACGGTCTATGAGCTCTGGAAAGCTTTAACTGATCACGTTTTTTATATAAAGACTTCTCTTTGTCCTTGATGTTCTGCCGATCGCCACGAAGTGTCGAGGATGTGTGTTTATTTTTAATCATTCTACTTGTGTTTCCTGATCGGCCCCGGGCTCTGTGTTTCTTGCATTCTGGAAAATTCAAAGCTCTTCTTTCTGCTGACGACTCTTCATCCTTCTGTTCTCTCCCCCCCTAGATCTGAAGGTCCTGTGTGTAAGACCCTTTTCTCTATGTCTCTTCTTCGTAGTTTACTTTTCATCTTTTGGACTTTTCAAGGCTACCTTTTTGCAAAGTTTCACTTATAGTCTCTTCAGCCGTGTTTGGTCTGCCTGTCCAAAACAAATCCATCAAGTTTTTAATTTCATGGACCATATTTTTAGCTTGGGAAAAAAACTATTTCATCACATTACAAATCTGCTTGTTGATTATCTGAGTGTCTTCTCCTTATGTTTCAATTCCTTTTCTTGGCTCCTTCGAAACTTTATTTTCTTATGTGCTCAACCATGCATTAAACAGGACTTTTTTGTTTGTTCTCTAGAATTTCTAGGTGTTTTGCAGCGAGAGGGTTTCCCGGTTATCTCAGCCAGGATAGTGGGGGAAAAAAGAAAAAGGTCCCATGGGTTTTCCCAAACTTTTTTCTCCAGAAAAGTTATGCTTTGTCAACAGGGTCAAACGTCACTTGGAGTTCCGACGCCCAGCGCTCCACGTCTGTGGCGTGTGGGGGACATCTGGGCTGTGAGGCCAGGACCATGAACCGTGCCCCGCTGCGTCTCCGCGGGCTCCAGCACCGCTTCCTTATTTGGCTTGTGTTTTGGAGGCAGGCACCACGTTAGCATGAGATGCACGGAGACATCTAAAGATTGTCGCCGAATCTGCACCTGGGTCGCTCCTGACCAGAGAGTGGATGCAGCCCCGGCCAGGCTGTGCCCCCTGCTTGGCCCGTGGGCTGTTTCTCCTAGAACTGGCCGCTAGGTGGCTGGAGGGAGCCACAGTTGGTCCAGCGCTTCCTCGTGACCTTCGGAGCAGCTGGAGGACAGGGTCAAGGCAGGGAACACTGTCTGGGCAGAGATAGGTCCCTGCCATCAGGGACCTCGGTGGTGGCCAGAGGACCCCAGTGCTCAGGCAGAGAGAGTGGAAGGTGCACGAAGATAATGACTGCGGGCCCTGGACCGAGGGGGTCTCAGGGGAGACTGTGGACGTCCTCCCCGGGGACCCAGGCAGGAAGCCTGCGGGGCCTGTGCCGCCCGCGGTCAGCCTCGCCCACCTGGCCACGCGGTTGCGTCAGGCGCCCACGTCTTCCTCCCCCAGGTCCTCCTGCTCCAGGCCTCCCGGCCCAGCTCTGCCCCCGACCCACCACGTGGGCCTAGAGGAACCGCCCTCGGCTCCGGTTTCTCGATTGCGGATAGTAACACCTGTCCCACCACCTTCCAGGGCTGCGTCATATGTAAGCGAGATAATAAAGGTGAAGGTGTGTGAAAATTCATAAGGGCTGTGTACTCGTGAGGCTTTAAAATAATTGTTTATATAAATTTCCCTACGATCCCTCCTGGGCCCAGGCAGGTCGGGTCCACCGTGGGCATCGAAGGAATTGATCGGAGCGTAGTCTCTTCCAGAAGAGACGCACACGCGTCGCTGTGCACCAGGCTGGCTCCCGCGAAGCCCAGAGCCGGGGAGACAGCCGTGTCACCGAGGTGCTGGGCGTGGCTGACACCTGCCAGCGTGACACTGCCTGGCTCCAGGGGTGTCTCCTGGAGCAGGAGCACCTGTCTCAGGCCCGGGCAGGGGTCTGCCTCGCTTGGGTGCAGCCCCGAGGAAGGGGAAATGGAGTGTCGAGTGGGCTGTGTAGTGGAGCCTGACATTGCCCTAAGCCCCGAAACAAACCCCCGAGAAGAAAAGCCACTGTCGCTTTTCCAGAACAATGAGATCAAGGAACCGGCTGGCTAGTGGGGGCCCCCACTCCACTCACTCCAGCAGCTGGAGGACTTCTAGAACCCAGCCACGCCCATGGGACGAGGGGAGAAGAGGGTGGCCTGGAGAGGTGTCACCGTGCCTGTGGCCCCAGTGCACCACAGAACAGCACGTGAGGGTCTTAGGTCCCTCTGACGCCAGAGCCTAATTTTAATGCAATCTGTTTATCAGTTTGATCACAACCTGTGTTTTAAAAACGTCAGTTGGAGTGAGATTTCCATGCAGAAATTTTGCGGGGGATACTTGTGTGCGCACGTGTGTGTGCACGTGCGTGTGTGTGTGCACATGCGTGTGTGACATCCTGCAGTCCCCCTTTTTGCTTTCCTCAGTTTCAGGTACTTGAGGTCAATCGCAGTCTGAACACAGTAAATGGGAAATTCCAGTAGTAAACCATTGACAAGCTTTCCGTGGCCCGCGCGCTGAAATCTCGCGAGGCCCCGCCCCGCGCGCCCGGAAGTGAGTCCTCCCTCCGCG